ACACGCAGAGCAGCATGAGTAGGACTCAGCACAGAAATCCCTGCTCCTGTGAGGTCTCGTCATTCCATTCATTTTCTATCCTTTTTTTTTTCAGAGGTGTTTTTAAAACAGATGTGTATGTTGTTGGAAGATACTGAGTTGGCTTGGCTTTGAACTACAACAAATTAGGAAATTAACATTTGTTTATCCAAAAACTAAAAAAGTCATGTTTTAAAGTTTTAGAATAAAGGTATCTTTATTCCTGGAGGTATCTTAAGAGACAGTATCATATTTATGCTATGCTTAGAGAACCCCAGCCTAGGGGGATATCTGAATGAACTTTTACACTGGGTTAGCTAGATCTAAAGGGAAACTGAACATAGTAAAAATAAAGCCCATAGAAGCAAGGGAGAGGAGAATGTCTGGATTTCCCTTCTCCTATTATAAAGCCTTAGATATATTTACAATAAATAACCTAGAAAAGGACAAAAGAGTATTTACTGAAAGCCTATGCTGAATTCTTTGCACACATAAAGAGTCAACATCACATAGCTGTTTGGGTGCCCCTTTAAGTCAGCTTCTGAAATAGTGCCTTTCAAGGGCATCATTGAGCATTGTTTTATTTTTTTCTCTTATTTTCTGTCCCCAAATTAGGTTTGGCTGCATGTGGTGTTGTACTTGTTAACACTGGCCAGTTTAAAGGAAATTTGAAAAACCTCTAGTTTGCCCCCAGTGTGGTTGTTCCTATACATACCACTCACTTGCTGTGATTTCTTGTTACTGGTGGTCCAAACTAATTGCCAGTAACACATGGTCTTTATTCTCTTAATTCTGCCTTTTCTAGTTATCCAGAGTAATCTCATATCCTTTAAGAGTTGTATATTGTGCATTAATTATAGTTTCACAGACTTCTACTAGAAGGTGCTCATGGGCAATATATTCAACAGATTTTGGCCAGATATTCAGTGGACTTCATTCTGAATCTGAATAACTTCTTGTAATAATATAGAACAACCTTTCAGACACTTTTTAGCTCTAGGTAGAATTTCTTTTTCAGCTCACTCCATCTAAAAACCATTCTGAATTGAATGAAGACTTCCATATTTATAGGGAGTTTTTGTGTACCTTTCCCAAAGTAGTATAGCAGTTAGTGTTGAATTGTTAAATTCCTTAGTATCTTAGAGGGTAAAATAGTTGCCTCTGAAACCATGTTTGCTTACAGTTTTCAGTGTCAAGTATACTTAAATCAGATTTATGAAAGGTTAGTCATCTACGTCCCATAAAAGTATTAGAAATAAAACAATTTATAATGATAACTTCTTGTTTTAATAATATATAACAACGTTTTACATCAATTTAGACACTTTTTAGCTCTAGGTAGAATTTCTTTTTTTCAGCTCACTCCATCTAAAAACCAGCATAAGTTGAATTATAGGAGAGTCTTTCAAGCACAGGGCCAACTAAGTACAACGTTTCCTTGTGCAGAGTGATGAAGTAGCCTTACCCAATTGCCTCTGAATAGAGCAAGTGTTGGGCAGTTTATTAATAGTACTACACACATTTATTTCAGCACAGTAGAGTTCTGTTAAACTGAGATATTCTAAACACATCATGCACACATACAGAATATAAATTGCTCACATGTAATGAATCGCTAACATTCTGTTAAAAAATGTGAAGCATGTCTTAATGTGCTACTGCCATAACTGAACAAACTATATTTGTATAAAAAATAATTAGCATTGAAGAAAGGGTTTTTCAATTAATGTATCTCTTTAAACAATTCTGGTTTTTAACAATTTAGCAATTTACAGTTAATGTCCATATGTTATTGAATTTTTTTGTCTGAGTTAGCCACTGAAGATTACGTCTAGTAAATAAGATGTCAGTTTTATAGAAATATCGCAGGGAAATAAGAAAAGATTAAGCATAACGCAAAGCATTCATTTTCATGCTCAGTAAGAAATCTTCTGTAACACTTTCATTAGTGATTGAGTCATCTTTGAGATAAAAAGAAAACTTTTAACAGTTTTGTTTCTTTGAGTATTTCCTAGGTGCTGTTGCTATTTTAAAAGTAGAAGCTGTGGTCTCTGAGTAATGGTCAGGAATATTTTTTCCAACTAAATTTATCTGTGAATTGATACTGCACATGAAAATTCCCAACCCAAAGTGACATTATAGACCATATTTTGGGATCTGTGGAATATTGTAAAATGCTACATTAAATAATAATTATGTTAGTAAAATTATCACTATGTACAATCCATGTTTTAAAAACATTTGACCAATCTTCCATGATGCTTTACAGATACTAATAACATTTAGTGTGATTTCGTATAATCTCTAAGTAGATGAGAGGTCATTTATACAACTAAAGGAGGGAGAATATAAACATCTGGTGGCTGATGATATAAACACTGAACAAGTCAGTAATGAAAGTTGCCAATAAGTCTGAGAAAGCTGGAGAGCTAATCTGCTGATCTACTTCTTATATTTCACTGTAACATAAATATTAAAAGTCTGCTTTCTTAGACTTACCGAGAAGATTATCATTTGCAAAATATGGAAAAAAGCAGGAAAAGAATGTGAGCCAAGCACCTAGGTGTGCTCAGCAGAGTAGCTTGCCTGGCTGTGTGTTGGGTAACTAGCTGTTACAGATCCCCTGTGCTTGGAGTGTCCGGCAGGGGTTCTCAGCCCCGCTTGAATGCTGCAATCACCTGGGGAGCAGTCCAAAAACATGGCTGCCCAGAACACACCTGACGGCCCACAGCCCTAGGGTAGGGCTCAGGTATCTGTTTTTAAAAATTACCTTCCTGCTCCACCACCTGTTTTTATGCTTAGTGCTAGGCCTTGACTGATGCCTGAACCACTTGTTTTCACTCTTTTGTAACTGCTAACCTAGGCATGGCACTCAGATTGCCTCCAAATGGGAGCCTCACGTTCACATGCTTGGCGGTAGACAAAAGGTTAGAGAGGAAACAACCGCACAGCATGTTTTTCATAGAAATGCCCCTTGACCATGTTGAATAACTAGATTAGATTCTAGAGTGAAAGGGATTGCAAGGAATAGTCCTTATTTTGTGTCTTGTAAAGGCTTCAATTCCTAAAATGTACATCTTATTCTTAAAAAGGGATATGGAATAGGTCAGTCAGGGACGTGGTGGAGTGAGGAGTCCGAGAGACTGTCGTGGGGCTATGGGGTGCAGAATTGTGCCCTCAGGGCCTGGAAGAGAGTCTGCCCCACTTTAAGGAGCTGGTAATTTTTGAATGAAGCAATGACTCTGGACTGGAAATGTGTTGCAATAAGAGAAAGGAGCCAGTCTCAATGTTTGGGCCCTTAATTTATTTGCTCTTTTAAAAATTGCAAACACAAGGTCACATCGCCAGGAAGTGGCCACCTGGGTCTGTCTTCTTCACACTTAACTGTTATACTAACCACCTTTCCAAGACTGACGGGATGAAGTGTATGTGGAAACGTTTTGAAAACAAGGTGTAGCGTAAACATATTATTAGCATTCCTTGCCTATGTTTCAATCTCTCCTTTTTAGTTTTCTCTCATACTATCTATTCCCAGCTTAGGTCATAATAGGCAACTAATATCTCTCCTGATCTTTAAAAACTGTATCTTTAAAAACTTTTCCTCTGAGTTCAGAACAGAGTTGATATTTTTGTTTCTATTTAAATGGAACTATATTATTCTGTGGGTTTATTTTATTCGTGATGGTATACATTGGAAAATTTTTCTGCATCAGTAGTTAAACATTTTCCTCAGTTTATAAAATAGTCTGCAGTATCCATAGAATGACATATACATGGCTAAGCCTGTGTTAGATACTTGTTTTTGTTTTTGTTTGATTGTTTCTTTTCTTTGATAGGCCATGTTTGAAAATTTCTGTAGTTTAAATTACTAAAAATGGAATTTCCTAATACTAAAAGCTATTCAATATGATGCCAGACTGCCCTCAAAAAAAGTCAGTGTCAGTTTATAGCACCCAAACAGAGTATGATAATGTCTATTCCTATACCCCCACCAAGCCTGGGTACCATTAAACTTCTGTTTCTTTGTTTTGTTAAACCACTCTTAATGAAGAGAATGATATTTTATTGTTACCTTACATTTGTATCTGTATATCTTCTAAACTCTATCCAAGTCTAAAATATACAATATTTTAATCTAAATGACAGCTAATGTAGTCTGTTTACTTTATAATATATCAGACTGTTGTTCTGTTTTTGTTTTTCTACATTTCTATATTGAAGTATAACTTTGATATTAAGCATCTATTTTTATATGTATCATTATTATATATAACTAGTATCCTCTTATTTAATGTTTAATGTCTTTTCAGTGCCTCACTAACATAATTATATGATAATGAAAACCCTTCTTTTCATGTTTTTTTCCTCCTCTATATGAATAATTTATGAAAATAAATTCCAGACCATGATATTATGGGGTCAAAGGTGTTAACTCTTTATGGCTCCTTATAAATTTGTTAACTTGCTTTACAAAAGTGTTGTATCGATTTTTATGATCATTAAGACCCTATTACTATAGCTGATTCTTGACTATCTTATCGAAATATGGTAAGTTTATTATTTTACATGTAAGTAATCCATATAAATTTACTTTAAGAAATTGTGGTTAGTGGCTTATATATACAAAAGATGGTGAGATATGTATTTACATTTTCCATGTTTAAAAGATGGTTACTTTATATGTATATAAATGGTTTTATATCTATATAGATGGTTACTTTATATAGATATGTGTCTTGTGTACTCTTTATATGTAAATGGTTACTCTGTAATGGTTGCTTTATAATGCTAACTGAAAGCATGAAAGAATGAAGTATAAATTAAATATATAAAATGTATAACTCAACAATAGGTACATTGTATTTTATTTTTTATATCTTTTGTTTTTTTTCTTAATTCACAGTGAATATTACAACAATGAATATGTGGAGGGGTGAATGTCCTCCACATATTCCTGGGGTGAAAAGATCTGTGTCTTTTAGGAAATTTACCAGTGGTGTGGTTCCTCATGCAACAAGTATGAGCGTCTGAAGGCCAGCCAGGTTGCCATTGGCATTCGGGACAATGAAAGGAAAGGAAGAGCTCAACTAATTGTGGTGGAAGAAGGAAGTGAACCGTTAGAGCTCAAAGAGGTATTGTGACTTGTATTGTTTATTTATTTATTTATTTTTTATTTTGGTATCATTGATCTACAATTACATGAAGGACATTATGTTTACTAGGCTACCCCCTTCACCAAGTCCCTCCCACATCCCCGTTCATAGTCACTGTCCATCAACATAGTAAGATGCTGTAAAATCACTACTTGTCTTCTCTGTGTTGCACAGCCCTCCCCATGCCCCACACCCCACATTATACATGCTAATCATAATGCCCCCTTTCTTTTCTTCCCGCCCTTATCCCACCCTTCCCACCCATCCTCCCCAGTCCCTTTCCCTTTGGTAACTATTAGTCCATTCTTGGGTTCTGTGCTTCTGC